TCACTCGGGAGGTGGGTTTTGCAAGCGTCTGGAGCTTCGAGGGCCATGGGAGCGGGAAAGCAACCCAGCTGATGCTCATGATGCTCGCTTCCTGCCTCCTCAAATCTGCGCAGTCACTCGGGAGGTGGGTTTTGCAAGCGTCTGGAGCTTCGGGGGCCATGGGAGCGGGAAAGCAACCCAGCTGATGCTCATGATGCTCGCTTCCTGCCTCCTCAAATCTGCGCAGTCACTCGGGAGGTGGGTTTTGCAAGCGTCTGGAGCTTAGGGGGCCATGTGAGCGGGAAAGCAACCCAGCTGATGCTCATGATGCTCGCTTCCTGCCTCCTCAAATCTGCGCAGTCACTCGGGAGGTGGGTTTTGCAAGCGTCTGGAGCTTAGGGGGCCATGTGAGCGGGAAAGCAACCCAGCTGATGCTCATGATGCTCGCTTCCTGCCTCCTCAAATCTGCGCAGTCACTCTGGAGGTGGGTTTTGCAAGCGTCTGGAGCTTAGGGGGCCATGTGAGCGGGAAAGCAACCCAGCTGATGCTCATGATGCTCGCTGCCTGCCTCCTCAAATCTGCGCAGTCACTCGGGAGGTGGGTTTTGCAAGCGTCTGGAGCTTAGGGGGCCATGTGAGCGGGAAAGCAACCCAGCTGATGCTCATGATGCTCGCTTCCTGGTTTTGCAAGTGTCTGGAGCTTCGGGGGCCATGGGAGCGGTCACTCGTGAGGTGGGTTTTGCAAGCGTCTGGAGCTTAGGGGGCCATGTGAGCGGGAAAGCAACCCAGCTGATGCTCATGATGCTCGCTTCCTGCCTCCTCAAATCTGCGCAGTCACTCGGGAGGTGGGTTTTGCAAGCGTCTGGAGCTTAAGGGGCCATGTGAGCGGGAAAGCAACCCCGCTGATGCTCATGATGCTCGCTTCCTGCCTCCTCAAATCTGCGCAGTCACTCGGGAGGTGGGTTTTGCAAGCGTCTGGAGCTTAGGGGGCCATGTGAGCGGGAAAGCAACCCAGCTGATGCTCATGATGCTCGCTTCCTGCCTCCTCAAATCTGCGCAGTCACTCTGGAGGTGGGTTTTGCAAGCGTCTGGAGCTTAGGGGGCCATGTGAGCGGGAAAGCAACCCAGCTGATGCTCATGATGCTCGCTGCCTGCCTCCTCAAATCTGCGCAGTCACTCGGGAGGTGGGTTTTGCAAGCGTCTGGAGCTTCGGGGGCCATGTGAGCGGGAAAGCAACCCAGCTGATGCTCATGATGCTCGCTTCCTGCCTCCTCAAATCTGCGCAGTCACTCGGGAGGTGGGTTTTGCAAGCGTCTGGAGCCTAGGGGGCCATGTGAGCGGGAAAGCAACCCAGCTGATGCTCATGATGCTCGCTTCCTGCCTCCTCAAATCTGCGCAGTCACTCGGGAGGTGGGAGGCGGGTTTTGCAAGCGTCTGGAGCTTAGGGAAGCAACCCAGCTGATGCTCATGATGCTCGCTTCCTGCCTCCTCAAATCTGCGCAGTCACTCGGGAGGTGGGTTTTGCAAGCGTCTGGAGCTTAGGGGGCCATGTGAGCGGGAAAGCAACCCAGCTGATGCTCATGATGCTCGCTTCCTGCCTCCTCAAATCTGCGCAGTCACTCGGGAGGTGGGTTTTGCAAGCGTCTGGAGCTTAGGGGGCCATGTGAGCGGGAAAGCAACCCAGCTGATGCTCGTGATGCTCGCTTCCTGCCTCCTCAAATCTGCGCAGTCACTCGGGAGGTGGGTTTTGCAAGCGTCTGGAGCTTAGGGGGCCATGTGAGCGGGAAAGCAACCCAACTGATGCTCATGATGCTCGCTTCCTGCCTCCTCAAATCTGCGCAGTCACTCGGGAGGTGGGTTTTGCAAGCGTCTGGAGCTTAGGGGGCCATGTGAGCGGGAAAGCAACCCAGCTGATGCTCATGATGCTCGCTTCCTGCCTCCTCAAATCTGCGCAGTCACTCGGGAGGTGGGTTTTGCAAGCGTCGGGAGCTTAGGGGGCCATGTGAGCGGGAAAATAGCGGGAAAGCAACCCAGCTGATGCTCATGATGCTCGCTTCCTGCCTCCTCAAATCTGCGCAGTCACTCGGGAGGTGGGTTTTGCAAGCGTCTGGAGCTTAGTGGGCCATGTGAGCGGGAAAGCAACCCAGCTGATGCTCATGATGCTCGCTTCCTGCCTCCTCAAATCTGCGCAGTCACTCGGGAGGTGGGTTTTGCAAGCGTCTGGAGCTTAGGGGGCCATGTGAGCGGGAAAGCAACCCAGCTGATGCTCATGATGCTCGCTTCATGCCTCCTCAAATCTGTGCAATCATTCTGGTGATTTTTGCAAACGTCTGGAGCTTGGGGGGCCATGTGAGCGGGAAAACAACCCAGCTGATGCTCATGATGCTCGCTTCCTGCCTCCTCAAATCTGTGCAATCATTCTGGTGATTTTTGCAAACGTCTGGAGCTTAGGGGGCCATGTGAGCGGGAAAGCAACCCAGCTGATGCTCATGATGCTCGCTTCCTGCCTCCTCAAATCTGCGCAGTCACTCGGGAGGTGGGTTTTGCAAGCGTCTGGAGGAGCGGGAAAGCAACCCAGCTGATGCTCATGATGCTCGCCTCCTGCCTCCTCAAATCTGCGCAATCACTCGGGAGGTTTGCAAGCGTCTGGAGCTTAGGGGGGCATGTGAGCGGGAAAGCAACCCAGCTGATGCTCATGATGCTCGCCTCCTGCCTCCTCAAATCTGCGCAATCACTCGGGAGGTGGGTTTTGCAAGCGTCTGGAGCTTAGGGGGGCATGTGAGCGGGAAAGCAACCCAGCTGATGCTCATGATGCTCGCTTCCTGCCTCCTCAAATCTGCGCAGTCACTCGGGAGGTGAGCAGTGGCCAAAACCCTTTGAACTTTTCATTCGACTATGGAAGTGCTCTCGCGGGCTCTCGCGCGGCCTCATGCAGACCGCTTCGCGCGCTGACGCGGACGTGTTTTTTGGGGGTTGCACTGACGCGGACTATCGCGGGAAGAAGCCAAAAACTTCCCCAAACCTTCAAAATAGCCTGAACCCAGCTGTGTTTGATAAAAACACCTACCCTCTCGCGCGCTATCGCGCGCTCTCGTAACCAGAGCCTCTCGCAGAAACTATCGCGCACTGGCGCGCCTCGGACTTTAGCTGACGCGGGCCAATCAAAGGCGAACCCTCTATCTAATTCTTTCATGGAAGGTTTTGGGCGCCGCTCAGGCGGGGGCCATGTGAGAGGGAAAACTACTCAGCTGATGCTCAACCATCTGGAGCTTAGGGGGGCCATGTGAGCGGGAAAAACACCCAGCTGATGCTCATGATGCTCGCCTCCTGCCTCCTCAAATCTGCGCAATCACTCGGGCGGCGGGTTTTGCAAGCGTCTAGAGCTCAGGGGGCCATGTGAAAGGGAAAACAACCCAGCTGATGCTCATGATGCTTGCCTCCTGCCTCCTCAAATCTGCGCAATCACTCGGGAGGTGGGTCTTGCAAGCGCCTGGAGCTTAGGGCGCCATGTGAGCGGCAAAACAACCCAGCTGATGATGATGCTCGCCTCCTGCCTCCTCAAATCTGCGCAATCACTCGGGCGGTGGGTTTTGCAAGCGTCTGGAGCCTAGGGGGCCATGTGAGCGGGAAAAGTACCCAGCTGATGCTCATGATGCTCGCCTCCTGCCTCGTCAAATCTGCGCAATCACTCGGGCGGTAGGTTTTGCAAGCGTCTGGAGATTAGGGCGCCATGTGAGCGGGAAAGCAACCCAGCTGATGCTCATGATGCTCGCCTCCTGCCTCCTCAAATCTGCGCAATCACTCGGGAGGTGGGTTTTGCAAGCGTCGGGAGCTTAGGGGGCCATGTGAGCGGGAAAATAGCGGGAAAGCAACCCAGCTGATGCTCATGATGCTCGCCTCCTGCCTCCTCAAATCTGCGCAATCACTCGGGCGGTGGGTTTTGCAAGCGTCTGGAGCTTAGGGGGCCCATGTGAGCGGGAAAACAACCCAGCTGATGCTCATGATGCTCGCCTCCTGCCTCCTCAAATCTGCGCAATCACTCGGGCGGTGGGTTTTGCAAGCGTCTGGAGCTTCGGGGGCCATGTGAGCGCGAAAACAACCCAGCTGATGCTCATGATGCTCGCCTCCTGCCTCCTGAAATCTGCGCAATCACTCGGGCGGTGGGTTTTGCAAGCGTCTGGAGCTTAGGGGGCCATGTGAGCGGGAAAACAACCCAGCTGATGCTCATGATGCTCGCCTCCTGCCTCCTCAAATCTGCGCAATCACTCGGGCGGTAGGTTTTGCAAGCGTCTGGAGCTTAGGGGGCCATGTGAGCGGGAAAAACAACCCAGCTGATGCTCATGATGCTCGCCTCCTGCCTCCTCAGATCTGCGCAATCACTCGGGCGGCGGGTTTTGCAAGCGTCTGGAGCTTAGGGGGCCATGTGAGCGGGAAAACAACCCAGCTGATGCTCATGATGCTCGCCTCCTGCCTCCTCAAATCTGCGCAATCACTCGGGCGGTGGGTTTTGCAAGCGTCTGGAGCTTAGGGGGCCGTGTGAGCGGGAAAACAACCCAGCTGATGCTCATGATGCTCGCCTCCTGCCTCCTCAAATCTGCGCAATCACTCGGGCGGTGGGTTTTGCAAGCATGGAGCTTAGGGGGCCATGTGAGCGGGAAAACAACCCAGCTGATGCTCATGATGCTCGCCTCCTGCCTCCTCAAATCTGCGCAATCACTCGGGCGGTGGGTTTTGCAAGCGTCTGGAGCTTAGGGGGCCATGTGAGCGGGAAAACAACCCAGCTGATGCTCATGATGCTCGCCTGCTGCCTCCTCAAATCTGCGCAATCACTCGGGCGGTGGGTTTTGCAAGCGTCTGGAGCTTTGGGGGCCATGTGAGCGGGAAAACAACCCAGCTGATGCTCATGATGCTCGCCTCCTGCCTCCTCAAATCTGCGCAATCACTCGGGCGGGGGGTTTTGCAAGCGTCTTAGGGGGCCCATGTGAGCGGGAAAACTACCCAGCTGACGCTCGTCCGAGCTGCAAAGGCGACGAGGCTTCCACTGATGACAGCCTCAGAAGAAGGGTCGACAGCGCCGATCCCAGAAGTGCCTTGCAAGTCGCCATGGACATCGTGAAACACAGCAAAGGACAACGTGAGCAGCATCAATCTGGAGCCGCGCAGCAACAGCGAGCCCCACCCTCCAGCAGAAGCACAGTGCCTGTGCGGCAGGGGTGGCGCTTGTCTCGCTCATGGCGCCCGCATCTCGTGCCGTGATTCCGTGCCTGGGACAGGGTCTCCTGCACTTCTTCGGGTCGTCCAGCTGCCACCGACTCCGACGTCAGCGAGCGGACAGGCACTTGCACAGTCTTGAGGATGTCAAACATCCAATCCTGAAGGGCTTTCGGCTTTGTGGATGTCTGTGGCTCCGAAACTGACTTCCTTGCGGTCCTCGACATTCAGAGCCGGGCCCAGTGCAGCCAGGGACAGCATGCCCAGGCATCGCGACACCCAGTAGGTGTCCAGCAGGGAGAGCAAGGGGTCGATGGAGGCTCCAAGAACGGCCGGCCAAGCCAAGCTGAAGATTTGCCGGGTGGGCTTTGCCTGCCAAGCTCGGAAACAACATCTAGCAACATGCTCGTTTTATACTAGCTTTCTGATGGTTCATGGGGCCTCTTTTTTTTGCCTTTAAGGTGTTTAGGGTTTCTTGCTGGTAGGTCTTCAAAAACTCGGCCACCAGATGGCCTCGGAGCCCTCCTTCGCCGCCCTCCCGGCTCGAAGTGCTCCCACGCTGCCCCGCAGGCGCGGCAGAGGAGTCGGTGGCGCCGAGGCAGGCTGCAACCTCGCTTCGGCTGGGCATCTTAGCAGCACACCACGCCTGGAACCCTAGCCTAGGGGGTTTTGGGTTTGGGGCTTAGGGTCTAGGGTTGAGGGTTTAGGGTTTAGGGTTTAGTGTTTCGTGTGGGATCTTGCAGAGGGTTTCAGGAGAAACCAAGGGCCCGGCAGTCTTTGGTTGGCAGCTGCTGCTGCTGGCGACCATGCAAACGCAGGGGCCAGCATGGCTCGGCACGACCCAGGTGTCACAAATCCGGAGCTCTGTTCAAGTGCTTTGCAGGCTGGTAGCTATCAGAAGAATGTCGGACAAAGCTTGTTTTAATCTCCACGGCTGACGGCTGTCCAAGACTCCGTCATTGCAACATGGGGGGGCGTTGGAAGATAGAGCACCCACGAAACAAACACACACACACACACACACTTACTTATTTCAAGGACTCCTTGTGATACGGCTCACAGAAGAGGACCCTCTACTGCTGAACAATCAAGCTGCCCAGCCTGCTTCGGCACCACCCTATATGAACCATTCAAGCCCCAACAACCTGCAGGGCCGGCCTTTCGGCGTAAGGCCTCCTTGACACGAGCGCAAACGTCCTCAGACAGCATCTAGAGAAGTTTACAAGTTGTTGTTGTTTTCCTCAAGGAGTGTGGCAACATTCTGCAGTTCCCATAGGAAGTTGGGTTGAAGATGGTTGTACTCGCGAGGCCCTCATGTTCAGGCGCGCGGCTCTCGCCAACGTTTTGGGTCCAAGTTGCACTCTCGCGAAATTAGGCGCGGGGCTTGACTCGACGAATGTTACCCTATCATGAATAAGCGGGGTAAGCAAAAAGAGCTGCAGAGAGCAGGCCAGCACCCTTGAAAAGAAGCCAAAGCAGACTCTTCTTGACAACGGACGATGGCGATTGTGGTGTGCAAAAGCCCCAGGTTTCGCCCTCGTTTGCTCGTAGATTTTGTTGTTTTTGATTTTACTCAGATCTCACTCGGGACGATCTTCCTCACGGTCGAGAGGACCGGCCGCATGTCCTTTTCTTTGTACTGGCGGCAGCGGCAAAGCGCAGACAGACCATCTGACACAGGTGATTTTCCTTGTGCACAACGTTTATCTACACATGCAGTCCGCTATTTCGCAGGTCTCCAGTTTAGGGTTTGGGGTTTATGGGGTTTAGAGTTTAGTCAGGAACTTGTCTCCAGTTTAGGGATCAAGGTTTAAAGGGTTTAAAGGGTTGCTTTCAGGGTGCCAAGCCATAAAAACTTTGGCGCCGAGCAACTCCAACACAGTATTGTCACGCGAACGATGCACCCAGCGATCCGTCAATCGACGCATCGAGCAAAGGCCCACGTTGTTGAAGGTACGTCGTGGCGTTATGTTTTTGTGGTGGTCCTGCTGTGTCCGAGAGTGCGAATCTGCATTCGGGTTCGTGGCCTCGAGCTGCTTTGTTTGGGGGGGAGGCGGTTTGGGTTTTGGGGTTTTGGGAATTGTTTGGGTTGGTTTCGGATTTTGGGAGCTTTGGGGTTGGAGTTTGGGGTTTGGAGTGTTGGGTTCGTCTGGTTCTTCCCTCCCTTCGCAAGAAATATCAGCTTCAAAAGGCAGGCCCGCGACCAGCCTGCAGCGAGACTGCCGGACGTGCCTGTCAGCATGCGCACATTCCAGCCAACACGGGGACCGTATCTAGTTCGTCAGTTTCTAGACTCTTTCATTGGATTCCGGCTCAATAGCTTCATATGAGGGCACCCCCGAAAACGATGACCGTAATTTAGAGAACAGACCCCAGCGGTTGTGTCCTACAGTGAGTGAGCCCGGGCACGATCGAGCAGGGGTTGCTTTCTGTTCCGCAGTGCGGAAGGGGCAAAGGCAGGGGGCGTCGGACACCTGCATGCGGCCTCCGGCAGAGCCCCAGCGGCCAGGGACGCACGCGACCCCGTCCAAGTTGTTTCAAAACCTTTGCACCCTGTTGTTACGAAACCCTAAACCCGAAACCCTAAGCCTGCACAAAGAGAGTGCCCTGAAGCTTTGTCTTCACAGAGGCACCATGGACCCCAGAGGCCTCGAGCCACGCCCCAAGCCCTGAAAACAGATCCAAACCTTTGAAGTTGTGTGCGACACCCCTGAGTTCTCTGAAGCCTTTGCAGCTCCGGACGCTGCAAGAAGAGGGCGGGGTGTTCGTAGGACGGGTTCTCTCGGGGTGCGTGGCTAGGAGATTCTAGCAACCCCCCCCTTCATCGAGGCGCCCTAAACCCTAAACCCTAAACCCTAGATACTAAACCCTAAACCCTGAACCCGAAGCCCTAAGCCCCAAACCCTAAACCCACCTCTCATGGCAGAAGCATGAGCCTCCCCCCCCCCCCCCCCCCCCCCCCCAAAAAAGCGCGCCCCACCTGATGAACCGCTGCGGCCCCGGGCCTCGGTAGGGTTCTTTTTGTGACAAGGCTTCTTACAAGGTTTTTACAAGGATTTTACAGGCTTTTACGAGGCTTTTTGCAGGGTTGTTTGCAAGGCTTTATAGGGTTTTTAATGGGTTTTTGATAGGTTGTTGGGAGGGGGAAAATAGGTCGTTAATGGGGTTTCTATAGCGTTTAGGGTTTCGGATTTTAGGGTTTGGGGTTGAGGGCTTCAAGGTTTGGCAACCCTCAGAACACATCGAACATCATGCAACCCAACAGCCCTCAACGCCGAGCCCGAGCTCCGCGCTGCGTGACAGAGGGCGGTGGGGTGTTGATCCCGACTTCTGCAAGCGCCTCTCACCAGCATGGGATATAGTAGACCTTAAAATCCCCGTAACCGACTACGAAGGGGCTTTTTTAGTAGGTTGCAGGGCATAATAGCCCATCCAGGCACGGACTGGGGCATTTGGGGGGGGTTCTCGCAATGAGGTTTCGGCCCATGTGTTGAGATATCCGAGAACTGGCCACCTCCCACCAGAAGCCTCACTCTATAGTTGAACGGGTGGTGGTTCAGGGATCGCAGAGCCTTCTGGAACTCGGTCCGGGACACTCCTCCATCACCGTCCTGCCGGAAGCATCAAACACAACATGCCAGAACGCAGCTTGCACAACTCCCTGCACATTGGGCGGGAATTCTGCTTGAAGGGTCATGGGCGGATATAAGTTTGAATGTAAGTCGGGCTCTGCGTACCTTAAATAAGGTGATACACGGTTTGGTAAAGGTACCTTATTGTCGGCTTCTAACCTACCTAATTACTGATAACTACTTGCCATGAACCTTGCCCCAAAAAAACACCGGGACGCTCAAGTCGCGCTGTTTCTCTTGCCCGCGCATTGAAATCCGGCATCTTCGGCTGGGATACTAAACATGAGGCAAAGGCGCCATGACGCCGATTCAGGCGCCGGTGTGGTTTCGAGGCGGCTCCGTGCCGCTCGCGGTGGTCTGCGGCGTGAGCACGAGTACACTCACTCCATGCGGCTCCACATCCATCGAAAGTGGTCCGTTCATGATGCCCAAGTCCTTCTGCTCTGTTGCGGAATAAACTGCGACAGGGGTATCCGGGCTGAGCCACAGCGTTTCCCAGGTTACTGTGATGGATTCTGTCTGGTATTTCTCGTTGTACTGGCTGTAGGACCCGGCCATGTTCACCAGGGCCACTGCAACAGCGCCTTCGGCAAGCGGCTTCACCCACACATCCGTGTGGTAGCAGGTGTCGTAGAAACAGTGGTTTTTCCTCAGTTGTGCTTTAAACCCTTTCAAGATTATTTCTGACCAGGAAGGAAAGGAGGGAAATTAAAAATTGTCCCCAGAGCGCAACCCAGTTTCTGCTTTCGGATGGCAAGGCGGGCAGCGATGCCAAGGTCATCCTCGGGGGGTGTCCGAAAGTAGGGGGGGTCCCTCTATAATAGGGGATTCTTGTTCTATTTGGGGTAGGAAAAGGGGTTTCCCCCCCCTAGTTTGGGAAAAGGCCCTCTCCTGGTTGATCTTCAGGAGCGCCGGGTTCCTCATGAGGTCCGTCACCCAGGCTTTGCTGGGGTTGGAGACGTCGAAGCCCAGGATCAAGGGAGAGCTCCACATGGACCACATCCTTACTGTTGCTTAGTAGGGAACGAGGGAATCAAGTACCCTATATCCCCCTATATATATATACATATATAAATATACAGATATTTATGAATATATATATATACCCTTTAAGGGATTACGTAGGCTACCTCACGCACCCCATTCCTTACTAACCAGCAACAAGCATCGCGTGCTCGGTGGCGGCCTCCCTCCGCGTCAAGTTCGTCTCGGGGGCGAAGTGGACGTTGTAGAGATGCCCGTCAACTCCTTTTTACTCCCCTAAGAACCTTAATAAAACTAATATGTTTTAATGTCCTCTTGGCGTTTATATAGGCAAAAGTAAAAAAACATGATTCCCAAGGGGGATATAGACTCCCCCCTCCAGCATGTCTGCAAATGCATAGGCACCCGGCGTCGTCGAGGCTGGAATATCCGGGACCTGAGCAAAGTACTCGTAGATCTCTTGCACCCGGTGCCACTGAGGGAAGTTGTCCCACAACATCCGGAATGAGTTTGCGATTTCAGGTGCGAACTCCAGTGTATCATCTTCACCCCAGTCACAAATCTCCAGGTACATTGTACGCCCTGTGTGATTCAGTGTTGCGCTGAAGTTCTGGTAGGCTGCCACCCGGCCAGAAACTTTATAGAAGGATTCTGGGTACTTGCCTCCGCGCGTGTTCGAGCAACCACCACGGGAAAAACGATTCATGTTCGAGACACAGCTTGAACAGCACCCCTGATAAAATGTAGCACCCCTGGTAGCATGCGGCAAAATTCCCAATGCAGACCCCGTCTTGCCAAGTTGCCGTCTTCCGGGTAGTCGACGCCAGCAGTGATTCTTGCCAACTCTAGCAAGTCGTCAGGGTCCAAGCCAGGCGCCCAGGACAACTCCGTAGGCCAGCCGCACCGATCCACTTTCACCTTGGGGACCACATGAACCCGAAAATTGGGGGTCATGTACCCTATACTACTAGAACTCTTATTAAGGTATATGAACCAATAAGGGTCATATACCCTATACTACTATAACTCTTGTTAAGGTATATGAAACCATAAACCCCTCTAGGGTTCATGTCCCAAGGCACATAGTCTACATCCCAGGCCGCGAAGGTCTCTGCATCGATCTGGTGGTGGTCCATGATCCCAGGCTGGCCACCGCCACATGTGACAGACCCAACGCTTGTGTAGATGCCGAACTTGAACCCAAGGTCGTGCAAGTGGTCTGCTAGCCACTTTATGCCCTGTGGAAACTTTATCGGATCTGCCTGCATGCGTCCTGCCGCGTCCCGGTCCTTCATGGCCCAACCATCATCGATGACGATGTACTCGAAACCACTGCTCAGGAGACCGTCACTCTTCATGGCCTCCGTCTTGTGGCTGGTTATGTGCCGAGCACACCATCTAGATACTTGTTCTCCACAGAGCACTTCAACTACAATATCTAGAAACAGATCAATGGACTGTCCAATGACATTGACAAATCATTGGCCTGCGCCACGGACAGAACCTTGGCTTCGCTGACATCCAGGTTGAACTGGTTCCAAGAATTCCAGCCCAGAGCAGGCGATCGGATGCCGGGGTCGTAAGTCTTCTGCATGGGGGCCTGCCACGCAGCTTGGGTCTTCCTTGGATCCGCGTAATCAATGGCAGGAATGGCCGAGGGCGCCGGGAAAGTCGGCGCGTGTTCCCTGTGGGAACTGCTGCCGCAGATAGTGCCCGGTGGGCACGCTGCACTTTCTTGCCGAACTCTGTTCCAGATTGAGTCCCAAACCTCCTTTGGATCGGTCACATTCCCGTCTTGGGACAGAGAGCCGGAGTCGGGCAACTCTCGCCGCTGCAGGAGGCTAACCTCCGAGCCACAATCCTGGTTTGCAGTAGCACAAAGGACCAAGGGCACAAGGCCCACTCGCAGCAACATCGCAGCTGTGAAGGTTCGGTAACATGCTCGAGCCATGTTCCTTCCGAGAATGCGTCAAGAGTCCATAGCCTGCTCCACAGCTTGAGGCTTGGACTACGCTTAAAAGCGATTGCTGAGTAGACAAGAAGCAAGACCGTTGAAACCTCTGGCCGAAGGAGGCCCCCCTATCTTGTCCGACGTTTTCACGAACAGACGACCTCAACGAAAACAGCCCTCTCCCTTTGAAGCTCCCAGCATGTCCGTGTCAAAGTAGCGCCAGAGGTGTTCCAGCTGCTCGCCGCGCAGCGTCGGCCTCATCTGAACTGCTTTTTGCCAGCAAGCTCAAAAGATGTCTCTTATCTCATTTTGACATGTTGGAGAGCATAAGGATGGAGCTCAAGCTGCGAGAAGAGTGCGCGGAAGTCTGGCCAGTGCACCACTTCCTTCACACCAGCCAGGGCTTGGAAGAGTTGATCCACCTCAATTCAGGCCATTCTTGCATCTGAGTGCTACTGCCGAAGGCAGTGCTGTTTCCTCTTCCCCAAAGTGTTTGAGAACCATCGCTACATGATTTGTTCAGCTCCGCGCGCTCTGACCCTCACGACGGAGCGCGCTGTTCACACCTTTGCCATCCACACGGCTTCGTGGATCTGGTTGTGGCGGCGAGTTCCGCTCAAAACTGGGCAGCTCAGCCGCTGACGCGCACACACAGCTGTTGTCATGGCCTTGGATGCAGAGTCCACGTCAGCGATTCTCCGAGTGAACTCCTGACACGCGTCTCTGCTTCCATGATCGTGGGAAGAGGGAGAAGATGGTAGAAAGTTCGCAGAAGTGGCTGCAGTGGCAATTGGCCCCGTATGGGCCCGTCCTCCTTCGACACACTGCCGTCCCCATTCTTGTCGAAAGTGAACCAAAGTTCTTGCAACTGCTGCTCCGACCTCGGCAGGCTATGGCAGGTTTGCAGCACCGAAACAGAGGAGGGACTGGCGCTTGCTGGCACGAGAGCACTCAGGTGCGCTTGGGCTTGAACAAAGACTGCTCCATCTGTGAGAAGAAGGCGCTGAAGTCCGCCCAGTACACCACGGCCTTCGAATGAAAGGATTGCGCAAGAACTGCTTGGCACCAGGGCCTCAGCTCTTCCATGCTTGGGCGCAGCACTAGTGTCCCACCAACACCTGCCTTGACCCCGGCCAAGGCATTGAATAGGTCCTCTACCGACTTCCTCGGCTGCGTGCGAGGAAACAGGCTTCATGTAGGTACTGATTCTGCTTCGATGACGCAAGTGAAGACCCCGAGGCCAGCCACTGAACCACACTTTGCGAAACTGCAAGCCGGGGTCTGGACTTTTGTCTTCGGAGAGTGGCTGCAACACGCGAACAAACTGCATCTGCGACCTTAGTCCAAGTAGGGTGGGATTGGTTCCAACTCGCCGGACTCCGCTCTACTCGGCGGCGTGACTCCGGGCAAAGATGAGGACACTGCAGTTCCTGCCAAGGGTGCTCCTCCTCCAAGTCCACAGGTCCACTGCAGGAAGGGCCTGCATTGACCACTGGAGTTTGAGTTCGTTGGGCTGTGGCGTGCTTCACTTGGACAACGCACTCAGTGCAGCACCGCCAAAGAACCAGACCGTCATCAAAGCGCCGTTCCATTAGCAAGCGGAGCTGTGCCTCCGACAGAAGCGGTTGGAGGATGGACAGTGGGGCACGGAGAAGAAGCATTCTGACATAGTCTGAGCCATTGTCCCAAGTGGTGTCCGGAACAGCCATGTGTCGCCCCAGCGCCGTCCGAATCAGATCCTCCGTGAGTCGCCCGGCGACAGTCGCCCGACGTGGCTCAAAAGGGATCCCTCAAATTTCAACTCTCCTCGTGCACAGCTTCAGCATCTCCCGCAGCAGCTTGCACAGCCTGCAGGATCTTGAGGCCACTTAGATCTGCCAAGAACAGTGATTAGACACGAGGCGCAAGCCTCGGCCACAGTGCATTCGCGGGCGTCATGCGCCAGCTGCGCGCGGCCGGCAACGAAGTCCCGCGCCCACCGCTCCTGAAGCCACCGGTGCTGCATGTGATGCCCTTTACTAGGTGCTCGTCTTCACTTTAAAGAACACAAATGCGAAAACCATGCAAGAACATCCGCAACTGTAGCGGGCACCTCCGGCACGCCCCTGGCGCTGGCACGGTTCACCTGGAGTGCACAGTCTGGAGATGGCACGAGAATGGATCGTGTCTCGCGGAGTGTGGGTGCAAGCCCAGGCAGAGTGCGGCCTCGCCCGCCAACGCCTGGAACAGCTCGCAAGATGCCAAACAGCAACCAGATCAGGCATGAAGTTACGCAGAAGCAACACGCCCCTCAGCTTGCGATCTGCATATCCAGACCTTCTGGCTTTGGAGCCATACGCAACTCTGCAACATCTGTGCTCTCTACCGTGATTACAGCTTCTTATGCCACGAAGCTCTGAGTTCGCAAAGGATATCGAGGCGGCAACATCTCACTGCAGCAACCTTTTGTAATGCCCTGGGCCCTACTTGAACCCTAAACTAAACTACCCGTTAAGCCCAAACCCGAACTGCCGAACCCAAAACCCAGAAACGAGCGTTCTCAAACAAGATCGTTTTCCTTCTCTGAGGCATTCTACTCTACCGGGTACTAAAGAAGGAAAACCTAATCTAGAACGCCCCTTGCGCTCTCTAAACCCTAAACACTAAAATAAACCCTAAAAGCCTCATGGAGACTAAACCCGAATCCCGTAAAACTTGAAGTGGCCTGCGGGGCCAGGGATCCGCCGCCGGGGCCGCGGGCCATGGCGGAGTGCACCGCCGTGGCCTGCAAACAGAACGAGTCAAGAGGAGGCCAATAATTGTTCATTCAGGATCTTTAGGAGCTTCTAGGGTTTTTTTGGAGTTTTTAGGGGTTTTTGGAGTTTTTAGGGGCTTGGGGGTTTTAGGGGCCTTTAGGGGTTTTTTTGGGGCTTTTAGGTGTTTTTTAGGGGGTTCTTGACAGGCGGCCTCGCTCAGGCCTTGGGCCCTGCGGCCTACAAACAAACACACCATCAACTCAACTCCAGGAATGCAGGCTTCTTCCTTTATTAAACACGCAAAGCAAACTTGGCAGGCACCACAAACCCTATTCCAAACTAGGGTTGCGGAGTGGAGTGGAAGGGCGGGCGACCAAGACGACGACGACTACTGCGGGGGGGATGGCCCCAAAGAACCCATGCGCACGTTGCCGAAAGCCGAGAACAATCGGGGACTCTCCCCGGAAACCACAAACAAGCTTCGCTGCGAAGAGGCGCAGCACAACGATGATCCGGAACCCCCGCACCAAGATACAAAAACTGAACAACACACGTCTGACAGTCGACAGACTCATACACAGAGACCAGGATCTTGTGAGCTCTTTCAGTGGCTCGGACTTACGTATCCAACAACAGCGACTGCACCACGCAGAGCGAGCTTGTTGCAGTATACAAAATATAACACCACATAGCATCCGAAACTCGCCAGGTACACCATCAGACGTCTCTGATGGTAAGTACGTGCTCTTTTGAACCGGTACTCCAGAAAAAAACATACGGGGCCCTTTAGACAGCCTCCGTGAACATCTCTGCCGTGTTACGAATTGACCCCGGCCTCCGCTTGGGAGAGCGGTATGCTCAAACCGCGGCAGGCATCCAGCCAAGACCGCAGGTCCAGTCCCACCATGCCGCAGTATACCTCACAGGATGCGCTTGGCTTAAAGACTAAACCCTACACCCTAAACCCTAAACCCTAGCCAAAACCCTAAGCCCGAAACCCTAAACCCTTTAGGGGGATTGAACGCCCCTGTCGAGGTTGCAAGCAGGAAAGCATGAGGAGCCGGCCGAAAGAGCGTTTGCCAGTGGCAGCTTCCCCTGGCCGGTGGCGCGCGCAATACCTTCAGCTGAAAGAGGCGATAGAAGATGACTCTATAATATATATATATATATACATGTTCATCTAAGTTCCTTGCGCTTGGTTTCGCAAAGGACAATGGGTAGCACCTGAGAGCCCAGCGGCTCAGAAGCACCGGCAAAGGAGCCACGGCTTCCGCCTCTGGCGCCTTCGCCACCTGAGCCGAGCGCGGAGACCCTCTTGAGGGGCCCCTTAGGGGCCCAGGATGCGCTGGGCTGAGGCAACTTCTGTTCCGTGGGGCTCCAAGGCTTTGTGGAACTCTGCGCGTGAGACTCCGCCATCTCCATTCTTGTCCTGGCATGCGTAGACATTCTCCGGGCTGGTCTATGCGAGCACCAGTCATCGCACAGATTTCTGTTGCATCCAGCATCGAACGTGTTCCTATGCGGTTCATATTAGGGATCCCGTATTTTCGTAAAACCCCCATGTTGGTTGTCTGGCTGTAGTGGAGCGCGGTTGGCGAGTCAGTGCCATTGAGTCAAGAACTGCACGCAGGGGGTAAATGTACTGTTCAGTTTTTTGCTGCTTCAGGGCTCGCCCTGGTGGTAGCACCACGTGGCAGGAAATGAGCCGGATGCGCGAAGAGCTGCCACAGACGCTTCAGCTGCCCGTCTGTTAAAGTAGGCTCCAGCCTGAGAATACGAAAGCTCGCTGGGTGTGGGGGCTGAGGGTTTAGGGTTTAGGGTTTGTGGTTTAGGGTGGTTTGGGGCCAAGGGTACTACTTTTTTCTGTTGATCGAACTTGTTCAAGCTTCGAGACGCTTCTTTAAGGAAGGAGAAGGGTAGTTCTAGATTAGGGTCCCTTTTGGGGTCCTTCTCTAAGGGTGCCGCAATACATAAAGAGGGCCCCTAACTTAGAGAGCTACCCATCGGGAAGGAGATGGGAAGCTGTGGTTCGGGCCGGGAGAAGAGCGCCCGGAAATCCTGCCAGTGGACCTCAGGACGCCCAGCAGCCTTGCCTTGACCGGGGCGCGTCAGCTCGTTGTTCCCATGGCACATGAGGGGGTTTTTGGCGGGGGGGTCCCCTGGTTCCCCTTCTCCCCTCCCCAAGAAAGGGGCCCCAGAGTAGAAAGCTTCTTCCCCCGCCTGCCAAAGCCTCGAAGAGTTCGTCGACTGTTCGCCCTTCTCGCTTCAGGCCCTAGGCAAGCAAGCTGCAAGCTAGGAGACTTGCGAGGAGCGGTAGCATCTCTTCTCTCTGCCTGCGCCACTCGAGCACAGACGTCTTCTGCCCAGCTGCCCATGGCCTAGGCTTTCTTCGCAGTGCAGCTGATTGAAGCTGCCATGCGCAGCAGAATGCTGCAAACCGATGACATGCTGTCCACTTCGTGGGTCAGACGGGGTTCCGGCAATAGTAGAGACCGTCGCGCTGGCCACGGCCTGCCGAGCAACAGCCACATGTTCGCATCATGTCATGTATCCTTGCACGTCCACCCTCAACACAATGCAGATGGAGATCGTTGTTCAGCAAGATGATAGCTAGTGCAAAAAAATGCTGCACGGCTCTAAGGTTTAGGCCGTTTCCAGCTCCTTGAGGCTGATGCGGCCGTCGCTGTTGGCATCCATCCTGCAGATCATCATACCATCGTCACATCGCGAGATATGAACAACGGGTTAAGACGGTTAAGAGGTTCCCAGACGGCTGCAGTGTCCTTCTGACCACAAGCATGCGCTCGTGAGCAGAGAAGAGGTCCTGTGAGCGCGACCATGTACATGCTGAGAGGAGCCTAAGAGCCTGCTGCGTCAGCAAATGGATCCTTTGTGACATCAGCGATGACCGCCTCCATCTCCGTGCGGGAAAGACCTTTGTCGCTCGGAGACGACGGGCTTGCCGACCAGGCTTGCAACCGGGAGCTGGACATCCATCGACGCCCGTTTGAAAGCTGTGGAAAGCCTTGCGCGGGGCAAAAAGGTATGAGTCACGCGGATCTGCAGGGGCACGGCAGAGTTGCAGGGTTGAGAGGGGCCTTCTCGACGCCTCCTGCGCCTTGCAGCGCCCGCCCGAGGCGGCCGAGCAAGATGGCAGCATGCTCGTCCTGCAGAGCTTCGTCTTGAGGACGTCGTTTGGTGCGGCTTGCTGAAGGAAATGCGGTCCGACAATTCGTCAACAGAGCCCTCCCCAGGCATCGGTGCTGCCTCCACCTTGGTGCGAATGGCGCGTTTGCTGTGAATTTGCTGCAAGTCTGCTGTTGTAGATGCTGTCTTGGGCCATGGCATGTTTGCAGAAGACATCGATGTCCAGCGTGTCGTCACGAAGCTTGGGGGAAGCAAACCACAGCTCGTCCATCCAGACCTGACGTGGACGGACATGGCTACCCCAAACCCCCAAACTCCAAAGGACCGCAGCTGTTGCACCTGCTCCACACCCAAGCGAGCTGCAGCCGCCGACAGCTCCTGTCACCGGATATTTTGGGCTTTGGCCGGGATGGTCTTGCAAAAGCACTTTCGAACAGGCACAGCACAAGGTGGCCTCACGCCTGACAACGAGGGGCTCTCGAGACGCGGCCACCTGAAGTCTTGGGCTCCAGATGTTTCATGCTTCGGTGTTTCTGATGTGGCTTGCCACATTCTCTGGATCTCGCCTCCGAAAGGACGTTCCGCAAAGCTGCGGCAGTCGTCGCAGGCTTGTAGCGTAGCAGTTCCTGCGAAGGGCAGACGCGCACTGACATCGTGTTTGGCACGTGATCTATATCATGGGCCCTTTTGGGGTCCCGGTAATCGTACCATGCCTTGGGGTACCAAAAAAGACCCCTGATCTTGATCAACCCTCAACCCTCAGCCTGGTGCATGCGGCTTCGGGACTCGGCGGCCCGTCGCAAAGATGCCTGCTCCAGTTTGATCACTTTGGGGAGGGAAGCATGGTGAATGCCAAAACCTACGGGGCCTAAACAAGCCCTTAACATGGTTCATGGATAGGGATCAGACTAGTAGATGATAGAAACGTTAGGGTTCACCTTCGTCCCTAGTGAGTTCACGCTGCAGAAGGGCCTGCGCAGGTGCTTCCATGACATCGCAGCGCATGAGCGCGGTCCTGAAGTCGATCAGGCCCGTGCGATCAAGTGCATAGAGCCGAGACCATCTGAATGCAAGTGTTGCTGCTCTTTCTGCTTCCGGCCCCATAATCCACATGATCTCTGACATTCCTAGGCTCTCTCAATGGACACTCCTGACGGCCCGCTTCGGAACCGCGCCGCGCATCTCTCCATCGAGTCGAGCGAAGACCTGCCGAGATCTGCCAAAAAAATCAAGAGGAGAGCCTTGACTGCCACGGAACCCAGAGAACAAAACAAGGGAACGCAGGGAAAACAACCCACGAAAGGGGCAACTCTCCTCGCACCTTGTCCAGCTCCCAATCTGAGAGACCAGCTCGGCATCGTGCTGTGAACCTGCAGAGTCGCTTGGCCGCGTGCTATCCGGCCCCCGAGAAACTCAACACAACTCCCAAGTGCAGGCGGCTGGCACAAGCAGCTCTGCCCTCGCCACAAGCCCGTCCTCACAGTGGCACAGCAGCCTTTCTGAGGTATGCTGCCATGCCTCAAGGATCCAGTGCAGCGCTCGGCTCAGATCCTCCCGGACGGGCAGTTGCTCCATGGCCTTAGGATCTTCGAGCCGACACTTCTCAGGCTGCGAAGAGGCCAAGAGATGCTTTGCCACACGCTCTCTCACATCAGGTCCGCTAACCAAAAGTATCTGACGTCAGCCCTCGAAGTATCCGAGTCCAACTCCACGTTGCGGTGAACTTGTCTGGGGTTCTGGCCTTGTCAAGGCTCCAGCCGAACTCCTTCAAACAGTGCAAGTTCCGGAGACCCTGCACTGCCCTACACCCAAACTCGAACATACTTAACCCGAGACCCTCCCATTCCGTCAGTTCGCTGTAGAATTTCGGTGAGCTTTTGAAGATGGCACAGGCGATCTTCAGGTATGTCGTTCTCTGGCCATCCGCAAGGGATTTCGCTTCTGAAGTGCCACATAGACCCTTGACCTAACCAGGAAACCAAAAAGAACGTACCACCAAAAGACGCGAATTAAGTTTTAGGAACTCTCTCCGGGCAACTTCCATTGCCCCTTTCGCATCCGTCACACCTCGAGACCCCCATAGGAAACCAAGAGGAAAAGTAACTCTTGGAATCGCGCGTGCCGGGTCGCGCGAGCCACGAAACCCTGAAGCCTCAACCCCTTCTTACAACCCCAACTATTGCTGCACTGATAATCCCCGAATTCCTCTGAGTAGGTTACAAGTAGACTTATAGTTGGGGGTTGTAAGTGCCCATGAACCTCCCAGGAGAAATGGCAGGGTTCCCCAAGTCATAAGGTTTAGGGTTTAGGGTTTAAGGTCCATAGGGGTTTTTGGGGCTTGCAGGGTTTTAGGGTTTGGGGATGCCTTGAGCGGGGTCGGCTTGGGGCCCCATATAGCAGATACCGCCCCCTCCAACCAAAATAGTCCCCCTGATATCGTACTACATCATGCTATATAGTTTTTTTCGCCTCGGTGGCAAAGAGGCGTCTAGAACAAGCAGACATGGATCTGGTCCCTTCCCCCCATTCCCAATTCTTCCCCCCTTTAGGGTTTAGGGTTTAGGGTTTAGGGTTTAGGGTTTAGGGTTTAGTGTTTAGGGTTCCCCCCTATCTGGGCTTTCTTTCTTCTAGGACCTTTGCAGGTGCTGCACCAAGCGACATCTCTCTTTCTGACATTTAGCGAGTTGTCTTTTGAAAATGGGTAGCATTAAACTGGGGAAGTTCAACTGATACAACATCGTATCCGAAGAACTACATCAACCTGAGCTGCATTAACAAAAATGTACAACCAGCGGTAATACAATTTATCACGTATGGTGGGAATGGTTTGTGCTTACCGAATACAAAAACACAAGAACCATGTATCATTGAGAAATGTTTTTTTATCGTAAGACTTGGCTTTCCTGCGTCTGCGATGCGCACGCGTCTCCCCCCGCGTTGGGCCAGCTCGGCTGCCGTGGCGGCAGGCCCAAGCGTTTACAATCCCCTGAACCCTAAACCCTAAATCCTAATCCCGAAACCCTAAACCCCAAACCCTTAAACCCCAAACCCTTAAACCCTAAACCCTAAACCCTAAAAACCCTACACCCTAACCCTTTCATGATATAACGTGGGCATCAGCCACTCCCCAGCTCCTGGAAGGCACAGAGTAGCCGAGCGAGGCAAATGTCGTGCCACGCCTCAGCCCACGAAGATGTGGGGAGGGGGCTTGGAATACGTTAGAGTATGAGTTCTCTACTTCAAATAAGTTTCCATTATACTAGGGATAAGTTCATTACATTGAATGAGAAAATTTTCTAGGGATGGCAATGTCTTCTGCGTGTTTTTGAGTGTTGGGGGGGGGGGGGTGTATGCAATGGAGATTCAGCATGTGCTTGGCTGTTTACAAGTGAGGAGAGGCTTGAGATAAGTGTTTTGGGTGCACGCAAAGCACCACAGTCCCGAGTCCCAAACCTCGGACATGCCCGCTGCAGCGTCAAAGGCGGAGATTGTGGCACTCGGAGGCTCCAACACGTCCTGGGAGGAGGGTCAGAGGTTTTACACGGCGTAGGGCTTAGCCCCAGATTGTATAGGCCATATTTGAAACCCCAAGACCCCAGAAGGACCACCCTCATCAGGATTGCAGCAGCTCCTCATCAGGTCTGGGCACTGGGAAGGCTGTGGTACTGACTCCGGTCACCTAGCACGCAAAGACATGAATCTCCATACCCTGGCATTGAATTATGCTCGTAGATTGAAGGTACATCATATCATGGGATGCTGTAAATAGTATGTGACCGCATAAGAACCCACATTCTGATCTGACACCATGTATTGGAGATGCGCTTGCTGGATTTTAGGGGGGGACGGGGGAGACTCAACAATGTGGAGGAAGGGGTTGCAACCCGCCATCTTGCCTACAATCCCACCTCGGCGATGCGTTGAGCAAACTCGATGTAGTCTAGCAGGCCGTCGGCATTTGTATCTGACAACTTCCACCTGCAGGGCATTCCAGAATGGCCCACTCATGTCGACGCAACCCGACTGTCGTGAGAGAACTGCAACCCCAAACCCAAAACAACCACAAGCCCACCCTGAACGCCAAAACCCAAAACTCCTCCCCCCCCCCCCCCCCCCCCCCCCAAAAAAAAAAAAAACAGTAAACATCCTGAACCCCCAAAACCCTAGCCTAAACTCTGAACCCTAAACCCCAAACCCAAGACAAAACATGCCAAGATCACAGCCACTCCAGCTGCTCCCCGCGCAGGCCCAGCTCAAGGCTGTTCACCTAGGGGGAGTTCCGACAACTAGGGTTTAGGGTTTAGGGTTTGGGATTTAGGGGTTGGAGGGTTAGGGTTAGGGTTCGGGGCTCAGGGGAAGAGTCACGGGTGAGGGTTGAGCCGGAAAACCATACGGATTATGGCATGCAGCAGATCAAAGTATCTCATGGACTCATCTTGTACCTGATAGCGAGTCATGGCATGCTGCCGCACACTGCAGTATCTTGTAGCCTTCTCGCTTTGCCCACAAAGACCTGAAACCCCTTAAATAAACTCAACCCCAAGAACCCGAAACCGAGCGCGCCACGAGAGTGAAGAACTCGCTCTTCTGTGCCCTACGATCTCGGGAGACCATGTCGAAGGCCTGCCGACGTGTTCGGGGCTTAGGGGCCGAGGGCGTTTTCATGGGAAACCATGGAACCCTCCCTTTGGGCACCCCTCCCAAATCATCAGGGACCCACCTCCGTAGGGATCTTTTGTGTGCAAGGGCATTCTCTTGTTGGGGTCCCAGTTTTGCGAGGATGCCTCCCGAGCAGACCAACCTTGCCGCCTCAGGGCCTCAGTCACAGAGAGGCTCCTCTTAGGGTTTAGGGTTTAGGGTTTAGGGTTTAGGGTTTAGGGTTTAGGGTTTAGGGTTTAGGGTTTAGGGTTTAGGGTTTAGGGTTTAGGGTTTAGGGTTTAGGGTTTAGGGTTTAGGGTTTAAGGGTTTAGGGTTTAGGGTTTAGGGTTTAGGGTTTAGGGTTTAGGGTTTAGGGTTTAGGGTTTAGGGTTTAGGGTTTAGGGTTTAGGGTTTAGGGTTTAGGGTTTAGGGTTTAGGGTTTAGGGTTTAGGGGCCTACACCTTTTGCACATTTAGGGCTTGGGTTGTGTGCATCGCACTAACCTGCTGTCCAACTCGGCCAGGTGCGAGCGCTATTGCACGGTAGATGTCGCGAGCCCACCTGGCAGATGAAGCACAACCCAAGGCGACAGCAAGAACCCAACGGACTTCAAGGTCGGCGGCTGCGCTGCTCCAAGGGTGCTGCCTTCTTGCCCTGCCAACTTCCGCAAGACATCGGTGTCAGTGTGGGTTTGGGTGTGTTAAAATGTGTTCCTGACCCATCACACACACACACACACACACAAGGTCCTGCTCGAATGCAATGGCAAGGTCATCCAGTGCAACGAGCTGGCGCCTGTATTGAGCGCACCACGTGAGCACACCACCAACGAGCTACCGCTTCGTCTTTCTGCAAACGAAGCTCGCCCAGCACACCTTGCTCTTTTCCGCAAGCGCTCGCAGATGTTACACGTGCTAGACGTATCGTCTGCACAGCTAAGGTACACAAAACGGCAGTGGCCATGGCGAATCTCCCCTTGCCTCATGGCACTGCGTGTCCTGAAACCCCCCTCACACCTGCCCAGCGCGAGGTTCAGCCCATGGCTGCTCATCTCGCGCGATTCGGCATCAGCATGTTTTGACTTGCGGGCAACCGCACTCATTGTCGAATTACGCTGTTCGATTGCATCTGCTGGGAGGCGTGACAGCTCCTGAAGTCAATCACGAAAGACAAGTGCTTTTGTTTACCCTGTGCACTGATGCAGGGCCCCACCGGGCCCCACCACCCCTGGAGCATCCGAAGAATGCCTACTCCGCGCAGGCCGCAAGCGGCCACTGGAAATAACATAGCCAACACGTACCGGCGACTTTATGCAGTCTACGCAGTGTCCTCGCCGACTTGTAACGCAGCTCAAGCCTTGGCAGGCTCAACAAGCTGACGGGAAAGCCATGATGAGGGAGCTCTGCAGCCAAGCCCTCGACTGCAGTTTCGACTGTTGCTGCCTCCTGCAGGCAGTAAGGCAGTAGGCAAGCAACTGGGAGGAACCAGCGCGTTCTGCGGCTGCGGCTGCGGAGGGGCCTCCACTGGCGGCTTGGCGTCTTCTGCGCCGTCGGCGCCCTTTGACTCCGCAGGAGCAGGATGCGATCGCTCGGCAACCTCCTTGAAGATTGCCAGCACCTTGGAGGCTTGCGGGGAACAAACAAGCTAGGTCCACCCGGTTTAACACCTCAGACTTGGCTCCTTGCTGGAAGCTCTTAGAGGGATGGTCAGAAAACGGGGGCGGTATTATATTTTGTGCTTTTACGGGGCTTCGAGGAATTACAGGGCGCCCGCATTCATGTGCACTGTGTGCCTCCGAGAACGCGTTCACCTCACCCATGGCAGCCTCAATCACTTTGGCTTTGGCCTCCGGTCCACAAAATCTGTGGCACATTGGCGGATCAGCGTTCTAGGGCCTAGGTTTAGGATGAAAGTGTCTCCCTTCTAGCAACAGACTTCAAACGAGGTGGTACGATATTACAAGAGTGTGGTAGCCAGTACTTAACAAAAGCGAGAACAAGCAAGTTTAAGCAAGTTGAGAGACGTATACCCTGCCCGAGATTCGTTGAAAGCTCGCCACACGGGATGCAAAACCCGAAATCCATATGATTGGGGTTTAGGGCTTGGATTTTGCTGTGGCGAAGCAGCTGTGAAGGTCGGGCCAAGTGAAGATTCGGCCCGATTGTGGAGGTAGTAGTAATAGTAGTAGTAGTAGTAGTAGTAGTAGTAGTAGTAGTCGTCGTCGTAGTAGTAGTAGTAGTAGCAGCAGCAGCAGGAGTAGTAGTAGTAGTAGTAGCCAGCGGCGCTTTAACCGTACACACTTTTTAACACACTTTTAACCCGTCTTGTCACCTTCTGAGTGTGCACAGCTTCTTCTTGCACACTTCTTCCGTTTCAGGGTACACTGTCTTGCTTCTGCCTCCAAATTCTTTTCGCTGGAGTTTTGGGCTCCAGTTAGCATGGAGACGCCGCCGCGACGGGCCCGGCATGTCGAGGTGAGCCCTCGCACTGATAACGTCCGTGTTGCCAGTCCGTGCGAGTGGCCAGAGCATCCATGCCCGCACGATGATAGCGTCCGTGTTACCAGTCCGTGCGAGTGGCCAGAGCATCCATGCCCGCACGATGATAACGTCCGTGTTACCAGTCCGTGAGAGTGGCCAGAGCATCCATGCCCGCGCGATGATAACGTCCGTGTTACCAGTCCGTGCGAGTGGCCAGAGCATCCATGCCCGCGCGATGATGACGTCCGTGTTACCAGTCCGTGCGAGTGGCCAGAGCATCCATGCCCGCACCATGATAACGTCCGTGTTACCAGTCCG